AGAGAGAAAAAGATATACATTCTTGCATCTTACAGGGTCTCTGTCCATTTGAATTGGGCCCCATTGTATATGAAACGATCCTCGAGCAAAAGACAGCCCTAGCAAAGCGAGGGATATCAATAAATCATCAGTTTATGACGGTGGAAAGAGAAAACGGATGTGCTTTACAACCTATTGTTACCTATAAAAATACCTATTGTGGGGGTTGTTTTCGATGATGGGGCAAGAAAGCCACGTCGAATGAGGTTCCGAAATAAAGACGCCTGAAAATTCGATGCCTCCACATTACCAAAAGCACCATCCAGCGCGTTACAGGGTTACAGGTTGAGAGTTTGAGGGTTTTAGGGCCAGTTCCCTATAGTTTTGCGTTCATTTAATAATAGTCCTTGCAACAGCGCCAATTAGTTAAGGTTGAAAATTAAGAAATTTTTATAATTCGATTTTTACTGTTTAACTTTATCACACTGTATTTCGCGAACACTAATTTTGAGGTCGGCAAATGAGTTGATATGGAGCTTTTAGAGACACCCAGTATACGCAAAGCTCTCAATTTTGCGTTGTACCACTTACGATGTTAATTTTTATTTATTTCCATTCGGCACTCGAAACCACTCATTAACGCTAAACGGTGACTTAATCTCTCATTAAATATAGTTCTATGCAAGCGTAATTCTACTCGGGAAGCGTAGTTTTTTTTTTGTTTACAAGTTTCTAATTGCCAAGCGACGTTTTAACGTATAAATCAGGGACCAACGAAACATTTATAGGCAACGCAATTCTGCTCGAATAACACGAACGTATTATGTTGTAAAACCGACACTTCAAATAACTGTCAAACGCGCGTAAACAATATTAAACATTGTGAATTATTTAGGAAAAATATCGAAAAGGAACGTGGCCGGTTTCGGTTTGGGACTTCTAAAACGCGTTGTCTATTTTTTTTTCTTTTATACCATTAAAAACGATTATGGAAGTGATTAAAGTTTCGACGAAAGTTGCAGAAGTTTTCGGTCGGCGTTAAATGGTCGGGAAACCTTTGGCTGCCGGTTTTAAAAATATGGACGGCATCCTCAAAATACTTTAAGTTTCGTGGATTTGCTCATTGCGGTCTAAAACTTGCATGTAGAATTATCCGAATCGCCTTCTGTACAGGATTATTTCTTATATTTTGACACCTACCTACAAGGTTAATGTAATACTGGAAGACAGAAAAAAAAGTGAAAATACAAAAGTTTGAAGATTCTTGTCCTATTATCTTATGCAAATATCAGAAAAAACAAATGACGATCTCAAGCTGTCAATTGACAGCAACATCTTTTTTTATGGAATGTCCTTTATATTATTAGCTTAAATCGTAAATGTTTTTTTCTGATTTCAAAAACTCATAGTTTATTGACGTTTGATTTAGCCGTTTTTGAGATATTTCAGTTTAAAAATAATCATCACTCGGTTTCTAGACAATAGCAATATTGTTTAAAAATGGTCGAGTCTGCCTTAGTAGCAACCATATTATCTATGTTTGCAATTATTTTAACAAATTATTTTGACATCTAATCAAAACTAAAGATCTGCAGCGTAAGTTAAATAACTTAAGATATGATGGGTTATACCGAGGAAGGAAGATGCTTCTTTTATAAGTTTTCCATATCGGAAAACATAGCGAGAAGTTCATTTTTTCTAACCGTTCGAAATGGGATATGTCTTCTCAAAATATAGTATTTTGTGAATGTTTTGATATATTTTAATGACAAATAAATAAATAGTTTTTTGTCGCATCATGAATTTATATACAAAAAGTTGCGATCCATGCCAAAAACTAAAATGTCCTTGCCTGATGCCCGAATCAAAAACTGACGTTTCTTTGCCTGCCAACATAACAAGTTACCAAACAAGTGAAAAAGAACGATCGAAAGAAACAACGTTCAAAAATACTCACAAACACACCTGTCAAGGAAGAATTTGAAATGAACAAAGAATGAAGAGAAAGGCAAGGAGAGACATCTGATGACTCATTGGAGGAGGATTTCTCTGACATATACGACTTTGATAAGTTAGACGATGTCAATTGGCAATTATGGAAAATTACGATACCGTTGTGTTCTTCTTGGAACTGTGCAGAAGTGCAGAGGGGTAGATACCCGGAAAATTATAATGATAATGTTGTTAATGTTTTGTATATTTTTAAACTATAATAAGTGGCATAGGAAGCATCTCACAACAAATGAAATTTTCGCTTAGGTGCTCATCATTCTCCAACTCTCATTTACGCAATACAACAATGTATTCATATATTTTTTGTTTCGATTTGCTTACTGTACCGGTTTGTGTTGTTTGTATTGGTCCAAAAATGACTACAAGCAGATAAACAGACGATACGTTAAAAAATGTAAATCAATATTATTTTCCTAAAAAAATAAATAAGAACTAAAAGTTCAGATTTTCGCGAGATTATAAGGTTGTTCGGAAAGTCATTTCGTTTTTTCCCGTCAGAGGACTTAATTACGTTTTTTCGAAACCAACTTCACACTTAAGCCGCATAACCATTATATGTCTTGAGAGCTGATATTGCAAGGCTTGTGTGTGAAAACGTTCTATTAATTCTACGCAGTAGTTTTTGGTTGGTGCCCTTTTAAATATGGAGAGCAATAAGCAGCATTTTCGTCATATTTTACTTTTTTACTTCAGAAAAGGTAAAAATGCTATCCAAGCGAGAAAAAAATTGACGGATGTGTATGGAGAAGGCGTGTTAACAGTACGCCAGTGCCAGAACTGGTTTGCAAAATTTCGATCCGGCAATTTTGATGTCGAAGATGCACCACGGTCTGGAAGGCCGGTCGAAGCTGACAAAGATGCGATAAAGGCATTAGTTGATGCAAATCGGCGAATAACCACACGAGAGATCGGTGAGAGATTAAATTTGACGAATTCGACTGTTTATGGCCATTTGAAAGGCATGGGCTTAACCTCGAAGCTCGATGTGTGGGTGCCCCATGTCCTTACGGAGCGAAATTTGTGTCGTCGCGTTGACGTGTGTGATTCGCTCCTCAAACGTCAAGAAAATGATCCATTTTTGAAGCGGATTATTACTGGGAACGAAAAATGGGTTGTATACAACAATGTTAAACGCAAGAGGTCATGGAGCAGAAAAGATGAACCGGCTCAAAGCGTGTCAAAAGCCAACATTCACCAAAAAAAGGTGATGCTCTCCGTTTGGTGGGATGTCAAAGGAATCGTTTTTTTTTTGAGCTTTTGCCGGACAATACAACGATTAATTCAGAAGTCTATTGTCATCAACTGGACAAATTGAATGATTCACTTAAAGAGAAGAGGCCCGAATTAATCAACAGGAAGGGTGTTGTGTTCCACCAGGATAATGCGAGACCTCACACAAGTTTGGTCACTCGCCAAAAACTTTTACAGCTTGAATGGGACGTACTGCAACATCCACCATATTCTCCAGATCTGGCGCCTTCCGACTACTATTTGTTCCGGTCCCTGCAAAATTTTTTGGATGGCAAAACCTTTACCTCAAATGAAGATGTCAAAAACCACCTGAACCAGTTTTTTGCCAGCAAGGACCAAAACTTTTATGAGAGGGGAATTATGTTACTGCCAGAAAGATGGCAAAAGGTGTTGGACCAGAATGGCCAATATATAATTTAATAAAATATTTATTCATTATACGAAAACTGTCTTTCATGTTCCCCAAAAAAAACGAAATGACTTTCCGAACAACCCAATATATATTTTTACCGCGTATTTATCAAATGTAATATTTATAAACTACCTGCTACTATATATACCGAAAAACGACAATAAAATCTTAATTAATGTTGTTGTGAGAATTTAAGTTCAATAAAGGAGAGGTATTTAAATCTAATTGATCATTATTAAATTAAATCTATCACATCCATAGGTGGAATAATGGGAAATAAGTTTTGTACATCGAAAGACAATAGTGTTGCGTTAGAAGGGATTTTGATTTAAAATTTGTGTGGAACTTTAAAATATTTACTAATTTTCTTGAGAGTTTAACTGTTGACGCTGTTACATAAGACACGACTGGTCAAAAATATATAACAGCTCAAATCACCCTTATACACACAAAATGGCTACATTTCACTCTTTTATACACAGACATTCTTAATATGCCACTTTCAGCAGAAAATTACAACAACGAACTTAATATCTTTAAACAAATTGCACCGAACAACGGCTACAATCCGTCAATTATAGATAAAATTATAATTAAAAAACAATTACATACATGTTAGAACCCAGTGAAAAAATTTCAAAACATTTGTCAAAATGTGGTTTAAAAATAGTTTTCAGAACTAACAACACAACAGGAAAATTTAAAAAAAAAAACAATATAACGAAATGTCCAAAATCTCAAAAATCAGGTTGAAATGCGTATTTTGTCCTAAAATTTATATTGGACAAACAGGTAGATCCTTCAAGAAACGCATTAACGAATATAAAAGAGTATTTATAAACAATAGTCTAGATTCTAATTATGCTACAGACTTAAACACAGAAAAACACATTTTTGACGACAATTTTGATATTTTACATGCAGCCACAAAAAGTAGAAAATTAAATTTATTGGAAGCCATGGAGATAAAAAAAATGAGACATTGAGAAGTATTGCTTAACGATCAATTAGATCTAAATACCTCTCCTTAATTGAACTTAAATTCTCACAACAACGTTAATTAAAGTTTTATTATCGTTTTTCGGTATATATAGTAGCATGTAGTTTGTAAATATTACATTTTGTAAAGAAACGGTGAAACTCTGAACTTTAGGTTCTTATTTATTATGATAAATGGATTTTCATCAAGCAAAAGCCAGTTCAACTCTTTTCTTGAGCATCAAGGAACTTCTAACCGTTCCAACAAAATTAATCTCAGTAACTCAGCTGCTGATAATTTTTGTGTTTCTTTTGTTGTTGGAAAATCTGCGTTTCAAATTTTTATATGTAAATTTTTCATTTGTAGGTGGCGACACAGCTGTACCAGAAGACGAAGGTATGTCCTTATAATTAGCAGCCTCAATTGGTAGTGTCACCCCTAAGCTAATGTGAGTCTTTTTAAGTAAATATCTTTATAGATTTTATATGATATTAAAATAACTTCAAAAAACTTCTGGGAAATGGAATAATTTTGAATAATAAATAAAATTCTATGTTTGCTTAATTTTATTTGTTTATTGTTAACTTTTGGTATGCTGTTATTTATGATTTATGATTTTTTGTTTTTCTCTTTGTACAACAATTGAACTTGAGACGTCGAGCAAGATTTTTCGGCAAGGGCCGGAACATTCCCGGAGCAATCAGAAAATTGGTCTACGGAAACCGTGCTGACAGATATAGTCAACACTCACGCATAATCGTATCATATTCCGTAGTAATACACTCGAAAAAAGTGAGGGGCTTTTATTTCGACGGAGGTTTAATAACATTTGCCTTTCCCTTTGTGAAGATTACTCTTTGGGTGCGCCCGGAAAATTGTCAGTGCCGTAGGACCACGGGGCATCCTTTACAGACCTATGGCGCTATGCATATATCGTGGCGTAACTGAAAATGCCTGAGTGAGACAGAGATGTTTTGAATTTTATCTGAGTTGTGCGGAAAATACTAACCAAAACTTGTTGCATACAAAGAAATTATTTTTATCCCCTGGGGGCAAGACTAGATGTTTGTGTTTTTACCCAATGCTTCAACCCATGTATTAACGTCTTACATATATTTTATTCACTTTTTTGTTCGGCAATATCACATTCACAAATTCTTCAGGCAATGCAGCAGTACCCAAATAGCACGGGACATAGCGTATATCCTAAGGATATACTGTTTTTCAGCTAAGGGACATCCTTAAGACGTCTCAAGGATATACGACGTTACTAATTGAAATGTCCGCAGTATATCAGATGCGTATGTTTGTTAATACATTCTAAGGATATCCAGTTATACTAGTTGAGAGGTCGTCAATATATCGGACCGTGAGGATACAGCATATAGATATACCAGCGAACCTTACTTATTGGGTTATTTCCTATAGCCTATGAGAAATACTGGAAAGGTGATCTACAGTAGTCCAATTAATATTTCATCTTTAATTTTGCTTTTTTTTAGCAAAAGTAAAGGACTGCCGATTGATTCCATTAATAAAACACATTTAATACACATTTTTTTCTATTGTAGATATAAAAAAATTGTAGGTACATAACATAGAAAAAATTTAGAACAACCTAACCTAAAGTATCTAAAATATAGAGTAATATATTATATCTTGAACTAAACTAAAATATTTGACAGGTTTTCTGCCATTCCTTGGTGCAACTAGCTCTTTTCGGCCAAGCAGCTATTGAATTCTCACATTCTTTTGATGTTTGTGATGTGTTTGCCTTCTTATCCGCATTTGAAAATATTTTAGTTTTTTGTCCTGCTGATGGTAGCTACCATCACCATGAAAACAGACCTTAAAAAATAGGAAAAATGATTTCATGAATTAACCCATCAACCATTTTAATGTGAAAATTGTATTTTATGCAGGTTGATTCCTAAAATTCATACTTTGTTTTTCGGGGCTGATTCTTGCATCCATTTTAAGAAAAAATATATTAACTGTGCAATATAATTAAACATATAATTTTGTTATGGGGGATTTTCTCTACCATTGCTTACTTAAATAAAAAATTAGTTTAGTTTTGTATGCGTAAATTTAACTGCTCAAAACAAATGAAGAGGAATTGGATTTTATTTTTCTTTTCAAAAACAAAGCAATAAGATACGAAAAGTCTAGAATCAAAAAATATATGTAATCTAAAACGCATAATATAGGTATATGGGTTACAAACAAGTCAGCTTCATCTTAACTCGGTCCTGCAATCACTGCTGCCGCCGCCTGGTTTGTGCAGGTTAGAATTTATCAAATCTTATGTTACATATTACCATAAAGCTTTACTTACATGGATTATTAGTTCTTCAGTAATGATAATAACACAAAAAAATAAGTGAAATGAAAGCACTGCAAGCAAGTCGCCGTCTACCGTATACCGCCAACAAATACAAGGCTGAAAGATGGCGGACGACGAGACGGAAGAGAAGCCGACGAGACTCGAGCGAGTCCGGCACGGCACGACCACAAGTAGTTGCATTATTAGTTGCAGCCGACCAGTGATGTGTTTTTGTAATTTTTTTACTCAGGTGAATCCCCATTTTCTGTGGTATTCCTATTAAAAAAGCGTTTCTTATCTAAAAACAAATTGGATTTTACAGGTTTGATTCCGGTTTTTTTTAGTACACTGACTTCGATGTAGATGTGGACAAAAACGTTGCCAATAAAATGTCTCCCAAAACACCACAATTCTAAAAAAAATAAGTATTTTCCTTCTCAGTTTTTCAAAATTTAACTTTTTAGGTTTCATTTTGTTTTACGGTTTTAACCAAGCTCCTGCTAAAAATGTAAAAATTTTGACATCAGCAAAATTTACCAGCCATCAGGTGTATTCGTGGTCCAAATTCCATTAAGCGATCTTAAACAGTTTCAGAAACAACAAAGAAAGACAATAGATTACATCAGATATATTTTTAATATTTAATTACTTAAATACTTTTATATATATTTTTATATATATAAAATATAATTCATTCCGTATTGAAAATAACGACAGTTTAATTAAAATATGTGTGCTTTGAGAAAAAGATTTGACGTTGGGCGAACGGCCCTGGTAAAGTCGCCCAAAGTTTTAGTAAAGCGAAATTGTCGCGCAACTACCCATAAATTCCGCTGGGCTGAAAATTTCACGTCGCACGCCGCTGGCTACGTATCTCTATTCCGGAATCCCGGGAAAGTGTATGTATTTCATTCGGTCTTTATGGCACGGAATAAAACTGATTGCTATCTTAATAACGGACCAATCTTGTTAACCACTCAACAGTGCATCGTCGCTTAGGTTTTTTTTTTTTTCTCTCCCCGGTTTCATCGATGTTCGGGCTACATTCTCACCCAATATAACTGGAAGTTTCTTAACAAACGCTTTTTTTAAAGACCGCAAAACCCGCGGTTTTGTTTGAAAACAAGAAGAGGAAGAAGAACTCTCTCTTCCCCGTAAGTTCCGGAATGTGAAACTTATTTACCGAAACGGATTTGCGCAAAAACTTGTTTTTGGACGCGACTGGGAAATCGCTAAGACATCGTACGATACAATCGATATGTAGACACTGCGAATAACGAGTTTTTACAAACAAACGGCCAATTTCCACTATTTTTTCTGGTGCACTAGTAAAAATAAGGGTTGTAATTTTACATTATTTATTATTTACTACCAAATATAATTTTTTTTTTTTAATCTTCATTGTCCATTTGGGTAAGTTTTTGTAACATCTTTCAAAAAACAGAATGTATATGATGTGTCCTTTAAGATTTTTCAAATTAAATTTATCCAAATGTATTCGTTTATTTTGAACACCCTTTAGTATCTCATTCAAGTTCCGTTGCAAACATCTTTCACGTCATCTTTGAATAAAGCTATTATAAAATATTTTTATATATTTGAATATTTTTTAAAAATAATTTAAAAAATTGCATTTGTGAAAAGTACTATTTTTTAAGAGAAATGATGATATTAATTAATTAATTAATATAATGAATATTAATTATTATCATTTCGTCAAAACCACTTAAAAGGTAAAATAAAAAAAACACTAATTTTTTGATGATATATATTCCCTGTAAATCTTCAAATTGATTTTTTAAACACCCTGTATATCGGAAACTAGAGGAAAAGATCAGTTACCCTTTTTTCAATTCAGTTTCTCCGTTTCAAACAATAAAAAGGAAATTTTAAAGTTTGGTTTTGAGTTTAGATTTTGGTTTCAGTGCGTCACCACTAGTATATTGTATAAAAATGTTACAGAGAAAAAAATCTAAACTCTATTTCTAATATACAGAACTGTTGAGCATGGGCATGTGGTATATGTGGTAATTTTTGCTAGTAACCTTAGATTTAAGAGCCGAATCTCCAAAATAAGTCAAATATCAGAAAACTTTTTTAAAAATTTTTAAAATCTAAAAATTTTTATAAAACAGGCAGCCATTATATTGATATTTAGTCGAAAGGTAGGCTACACTTACGCTGCTCGGAAATTTATATAAAACCAAGAATATACCAAACCAGATCTTTGGTTCCCTCATATTGTAATCATGTTAACAGAGCCTATGGCCAGTGTAATGATACTTATTCCAGAGGCAAGCTACAAAATACTCGTTTTATATTTAAATCTTAAAATGAGTTACGTTAATGTCCTGTTCTTAATGAACTGAGGTGGCTTTTACTTGATGAAAATCCATTTATCAAAATAAATAAGAACTAAAAGTTCAGATTTTCACGAAATTATATATTTGACTTGACAATTGTTTCGACAACACCGTGTCTTTATCAAATGTCATGTCTAATATATAATTTCGTGAAAATCTGAACTTTTAGTTCTTATTTATTTTCCTCTTCTTATTCTTATTCGTATTTAAGCTCTCGTTATTTGTTAGTTTTGTAGCTTCCTCTGTACCAGTTCCTTGTAGGTGGTCTGCCAGCTGTCCTTCCATCTTTTAGGTGACCTTCCGGGTGCTCTTTTCCCTATTGGTTTCCCTTCAATGCAATGCTCTTCCATTCTTCTCACGTGAGCGTGCCAATATCTTTTTCTTTGTCTCCCTCCCCCATCTTACTATGTCTTGCACCACACATTGTTCCCTGATGTCAGTGTTCCCATTTCGCTCTCTTCTTGTTTTTCCCACTATAACCATTTTCGTTTTGTTAGTTTCTTCTCTGGTTTCTATTCCGTATGTCATGATTGCCCTGATACAAGTCTTACAGATTCTGGCCTTGCTATTATCATTCGGATGTTACTTCCTCTATAATTCTGTCCATTTGAAAATTGAACTAAGGGCTAAGGCTGTCACCTTGTATAGGTGTCTCCTGCCTTTACTTTAGTCACGTTGCTCATATTGATACTTAACATTGAGAGTTA